TGTACTTTCTCACTATTGTGTGAAACAAGAAAAAATCAACAAACCACAATGCTAAAATGAAACATATTTGTTTCCCTCCTGAGGGGTTTAAAAGTACTATGCAGCCTACAATTAGGCCATGTTAGGGGTTGCCCCGTTTGGGGAAATAGCCACCTATAGTGAGGACAAGTTGACAACTGAATCCTATCTCCAGGGAATGGGCATTGTGAAAATGGGACTCCTGAGACTGAGTGTGTTGTGTGTTTGTGTGTTTGTGTACGGCGTTAAGGAGTCGATACACTGGCATGGGGAAGGGAGATGGGTGTCTCTTCTGCTGTATCTTGAAGCTATTCCCACTTTATGGTTTCCGTACTTCAAAACAAAACAGTTCTGAGGGCCATTTAGTGGCTGGAACAGAGGACTTCCTGAGTCAGACAATCTTGGCTCATAAAGTGGAGACGCATCTGGTCACTGGGACATGAAAAGAGCCCTTTCCACAGAACAGCCTAGTGGCTTGAGTGTAAATGAATCAGAAACACCTGGCTGATATTTCCCTTGAAGTCCACAGAGGATGAGCTGCTTAAGGAGGATGTGGTTAACGTGGACATTTTCTGAGGTTTGAGTAGCCCAGAACATTTGAAGAAAATTGAAAGTCACACATATGCTCACTAAAAATCCAGTGCCCTACTATCAACCTTCACTTCAGTCATTGAAAAAAAATGAAGGGGATATGTATTCTGTTAACAGATGGGATCAGGATGAACTAGTTTCCCACTACTGGTATGCAATTGAGGTATAAAGTGGATTGTTAGCTTATATGAAATTGCCATGAAAGCTAGTTGATGTGAAAGCCCAGGAGTCATTGTTTTAATTTAACAAGTATTTACTGATCACCCACTACATATTTGGTGTGATACAAGATGGTAATTAGACTCTAAATTTATTGTTTGTTATAGTTTTAGTACTATTTTTACCTCAACTGTCTCTTTTTGATCTTGACAACCACCATGTGAGGGCAGTATCATTCCCTGCTGGGGCTAGAAGGCGGAGTGAATAGAGCTCTGGACTTGGAATCCTTGAAATCCGTAAGATTCATCTTTGTGAGTTCAAATCCAGCCTCAGATACTTAATGGCTGTGTAACTTGAGGCAAGTTACCGAAGTCTGTTTCCCTTGGTTCCTCATCTGTGAAATGAGCTGGAGAAGGAAATGGCAAACCACTCCAGTATCTTTGCCAAGAAAGACCAAAAAAAAAAAAAAAAGAGAAAGAAAGAAAAAGATCACAAAGAGTCAGCCACAACGGAAAAACAACAGATTATCCTCATTGTTCAGATGAGAAAACTGAAATTTAGATAACTTAGATAATTTTCCCAGGATTATATAGCTAGTAACTAGCAAAACCAAGATTCAAATCTAGATTTCTGGTGTCCATGTCTCAGTGTACCATGTTCTGACTCAGTGTACCATGATAAGTTATGATCTATACTCTCTGGTATTTTATTTATTCTAAAGCTAGGCAGGAAAGATGTACAAATGAACTACACCAATAGAGAGCATGTTCCAAAAGGCTTAGTGCATTTTTAAGCTTTTAAAACTACAGAAATTTAAATACAACAAATTTACAAAAATATATTTGAATGGTTAATTATTTAAATCTTAGAATATTGATATGTTTCTCATTAAAATTCAACATTACCACTGTCTTATACTATACATCTCTGTAGTCAGTTTTTGAACTTTGTAAAAACTTTCATCAGCTGCTGCTCAGTGACTAATTCAGTGCTTGCCTTTACAATCCTAACTTTAAGATCATCAAAGAATGTTGTCGTGCATATACAGCAGTTTTGATATGACCACACAAGAAAAAATCTAACGGAGATAGATCAGATACTGACCTACTGGTCTGAGAAAGTGTCATCTAGAAATCATCACACATGCAATGAATAATCACAGAATGCCCATCTTGTTAAAAATTAAAATTAAGTTCTTTTTCAAAATTCACAGAAACCAAGAACAAAATAAATTGAAATAATTAAACTGTCAGGTAGTGCTTTTGTAAGTTTATAATATATTTCTGAAGTTACTAAGCTTAAAGGGCACTAAGACTTTTACAACACCTATATAGTCCGGTATTAAGCAGAATATGATTGAGTGCTGAAATAGATGAAAAACACAATGAGGAAGGGAGGGAGATGAATTCTTAAGTAACCATATTCATTCTAAGCAAATGTGGTAGGAGAGTTCATAAAAAAATGAAACTAATTCAGATTTGGGAATGGGGAAAGCACAGAATGATAGAGTATTTTTAAGAAAACACAAATAATTAAAAACAACATAACCAAGCTTGCTTAATGTAGCCTCTTAGGATAACTGCTTTAATGGATAAGAATTACTGCCCATCACCATAGCAGTCATTTATGTCATGCATAGTACAACTGTGTGGTACAATGCATTGAGCACAGGACTTGGAAGTGAATGACCTGGGCTCAGATCCTGGATCCATCTGCATATAAACTCTGTCACCTTGGGCAAGTCATTTTACCTCTCTGGGCCTCAGTTTCCTTGGATATAAAATGAAGGGGGTGGGCTAGGTGATAACTAAAGCTTCCTTGAGCTCTGAATTAATGTTCCTCTGTGTCTAAAAATACTTTGTTATCTTAGTCACTTTAAGCATCCTTTGCTACTACCATTAATTTACCCAAGGATTTCATTCTTACTAGATAGTATTACTGTAGGATTCAACCAGATACTTCTCTATTACAAATTCATAATAAAAGGAGGCTTTATTGGTGAGATTGTATGGTACCCTTAGATGTTTCAGGGCATTTTAAAGTGCCTCTTTCTTGGCATAGGTTGTCAAAAGGCAAAGATCCACTCTCATGAACATGCAGGTATTGTGGATTTAGAAAGCTCAGAGATGTCATTTTCTATTTTCAGTGCCTCCATCTCCTCCCCACTGGCTCACTTTCTCTACCCCTTAAAAGCTTCTCATCTCACTGTTCTGTTCAAATGACTGCCTACAAAGATATCGATGGATTGCTTTATCCAGTGACTTTTTCCTCAATCTTTGTCCTTCTGATTGCTCTGTTGTTTTTGATCCTGTTAGCCATCCTCTCCTCCTAGATACTCTTCTCTTTGCTTCTTGCACAGCTCTCTTCAGGCTCTCCTTCTACCTCCTTGGGCACTCATTTTCAGTCTTTCTGTCTTCTGTGACTAAATGTAGAGGTCTCCTGAGGCTCCAAACTAAGCCATCTGCTCTTTTCTCTTCACAGTCTTTCCCTCAATGAGTTCTGGGTGTGATTATCATCACTAGATAGAAGATGCCTCACCCTATGATCAGAGCCCTAAACTATCTCTTGAATTCAGTCCCACATCTCCAGTCACTGGCTACCTCCATTGGAATATCCCATAGGTACCTTAAACTCCACACACTTCCAAACGGACCTCCCAATCTCTACCCCTCCTCCAAACATCTCAGCTTTTGGAGAAGGCACTAACACGCCAGTCACCCAGGTTTGGTGCCTTCTACTCATCTTTGATTCTTCCCTTTGCCTCACCCATCACATTCAATCAGTCCCCAATCTTGTCTCTTCTGCTTCTACAACATCTCTTAATTCTGTCTCTTTTTCTCCAAATAAGGCCGAGTTTGGGCCCTCTCACATGGGCTATTGTAGTCATTTCTTAAATCCGTGGCCTCCCTGCTTCTAGCCAGTGCCCTTTCTATATCTTCCCCATACCTGTCCCAATAATCTTCCTAAAGGCACGAGTCTGAAAACATATCACTACTGCATTGAGAAACTCTCAGTAGCGCTGTGTTGCCTTGGTATGGGAGGTGGGGGGACTTTTTACCTAGGCATTCAAGGCCTTTCCCATCTCTACAATCTCACCTTTAAGATTGCTCACCATCACGCATTCCAGACTGAACAGCTAGCTGTTTCCTAAATCTGGCAGTCTATCTCCTCATGCCATTCCTTTACTCTGTCTTCCCTGCCTGACATGAACTTTCTTCTCACTGCTACCTCTCAGGATCTTTGCCTTCCTTCAAAGCTAAACTCAGTTATCACCTCATTCATGAAGGCATCTTTGACATCCTTTCCCAGTTGTTAATGCCTTCACCTATTTCAAATTACATGTTTACTTTTCTGTATATAGGTTATATCTAGCCCCTCTCCCCCAAAAGAATATAGGCCCCTCAAAGGCAGAGGTTGCTTCATTATTTGTATTTCTAGCGCCTAGGATACAGGGCCTGACACATAGTAAGCACTTAATAAATGTCACATTAATGTATGTAATGTGTAAGCCACAAGAGTACTTGTGCTTTGTGCTAGGTTATACACATTGATGTTTTATTTTTTTTTAAATTAGCAAGCATTTATTTTCTCTCTTCCACTTCCCTGTTGAGAAAGGAAAAAAGAATTTTTACAACAAGTGTGCACAGTCAATACAACAGATTCCCACATTAGACCTATCCCCCCCAAAAAAATGTCAAATTCTGTATATTGAGTTTATCACCTATCTGTCAGGCAGTGAGGATCATCCTTCATCATTGTTCCTCTGGAATCATGGTTGGTCAATTCATTGACCATCGTTTTTAAGTCTTTTAAAGTTGTTTTTCTTAATGTTGTTGTGGTTGTATAAATTGTTTAGGTTCTGCTCACTTTTTAACTCAATCTGTCAAATTTCCCAATCAATTTAAAAGACAGAAAATGTAAATTAATCAAAAGTTTTTAGATGAATTTTGGTTGGTTTCTTATTGTTGCTGAGGTCCATTCCACACTCAAAATGAGGTGGAAGTGTGTTTTAGTGGAAAGAGCCCTTGGGAGTTAGAAGGCTTATCTGGATCGCAGTCCCAGTACCTCTGTAACCTTAGGAAAGTCACGTAACAACTCTGGGCCTTGTTTCCTCCATCGGTATGGTGATGAGATTGGAGTAGATGATTTTTAAAATCCCTTCCAGGTATAAATCTATGACTGTAACTTGAACACCCTAAAACCTCAGTTTGCATTTTCTCTCTTTCCCACAGCCAGCTCATCCCTGAAGAAACGCTTCAAGAGGCAGGAGATTGAAGCAATCCAGTGCGAGGTGCGTAAAATGTGCAACTATACCAAGATCCTGTCCACAAAGAAGAACCTCGACCACGTGAACAAGATCCTGAAGGCCAAGCGGCTGCAGAGACAATCAAAGACAGGCAATAACTTCGTCAAGAAAAGGAGAGGGCGACCCCGCAAACAGCCCCTCTCATTCGATGAGGACTCCAGAGACCAAATGCCAGTGCTAGAAAAATGCATTGACCTCCCCAGCAAGAGAGGTCAGAAACCCACCCTGAACCCTTTGGTGTTGGAACCAGTGGCCAGTCAAGATACCATCATGGCAACCATTGAGGCTGTCATCCACATGGCCCGGGAGACCCCACCTCTACCACCACCCCCTCCCCCTCCCCCTCCTCCCCCTCCTCCTCCCCCTCCTCCACCTCCCCCTCCTCCTCCTCCTCCTCCTCCTCCCCCCCCTCTACCACGCACACCCAGAGGTGGGAAGAGGAAACACAAACAGCAACAGCAACAACAGCAGCTGCAACATGAGGAGGAGGTGAAGGCCAAGAGACACAGAAAGTCAAGAGGGAACGAAAGTGAAGCCCTTCCCTAGAGTTGGGAAGGGCAAATGGGAACACAAGGGTAGGGTAAACTGAGGCATTGAACATGCAAAAGAAAAGCAGGGGTGAGGGTTGGGAAGGGGAGGGGGCAGGGAGGGGGTTCTGGCCACAGTCACAGACTTGCTTTTCCCTCCAGCAGTCTCATTATTAGCTTCTGGGGGAGCAAGGAAGGGAGGCACCTTCAAAGGAAACACTGCAGTTTGCTTTACAGTTTCCCAGCCAATCGGCATTGCAGGATTGCCGTATCTTTAAAACATAAAAGCGACAAACAGCCCAGCAGAAGAGAGCAGATGGTCCTCTCAGTCACCTAATGAGAAAGAGAATCCAAGGCAGACAGGCGTGGCCCATTTGCTGGCCTGTCCAATCACAGAAGAAGAACCATGCTTGATTAGGAAGAGCTCTAAAGGAGCCGGGAGGACTAGGATGGGGGGGTGGGGGTAGGGTCAATAGCTATAAATTCCTCCACTGTCTTGGCTGTAATCCATTTGATTAATTTTAATTTTGCTTTATTATATCAGTTTAAAAACCCTACGAGGCTTTGAGGTGACATCATCTTCAAGTGGCTTAAATCTTTCTATAATGATAAACTTTCTCAGTTATTCCTGGATTATAAGGTTGCGCTTCAGCTATAGGCACACACCTACCTATACACACGAACACATAAACAAGATCCTTTCTTTCTCACACTCACTCAGATTCTAAACTTTTTCGTACATTATCTCTTTCACATCCAGATAGACACACAAATATACCACATCACTTCATCCTGCTTTTCCTTTCCTTTCTCACCACCTAGTCATAAATTTCATTAATTCACTCACCCTCATCTCTGTAGATATACATCTGAATCAAGCAGCCCACCCATCCTGAGTGCACACCCAATCATACATACACACATACCCCATCACTCAGAATTATGCTTCTGTTACTGTCACTAGCAGTGGTGGTGTAGTGTCATGTTTAAAGTATTACACAGATATTCAATTATAGTAAAGCCATCTTATTAAGCAACATGGAGTATCTGGGGATATGTTGACTTATGTGTCAACCATGTTATTTTCATGCTTAATACATATCAGGCGAGAACAGCTGGAAACTTCTTTTTAAAACCCCACTGCAAATGAACATGAAGATTTCACCAAAAAAAAAAAAAATCAAAACCAAAACACGAGAGTGTATCAATGCCTTGGTATGTGGTTTTCTTTGCAAATAGCTATTGAAAATTGTTGAAAAGATATATCCAAACACACCCACACATACAAAAAAAATACCTGAAAGAAGTCCATTATCTCTTGGCAATTATTTCCTAAAAGAAAAAAAAGGAGTAAGTGTTCTTATCTGAAAAAAAATATTGCTCCAAGGGTATCACCACTGCAGTTGCATCGAGCCACCTTGGGCAAGTTATCCAGGTTGTGGTTGCCTTAATAAACTAAAATGATTTTTTGTACATAATGTAATTATAAAGCTATCAGTCTGCATGAATGCAAACTGTGTGTGACAAATCGTCTTTAAATGGTCAGTTTCAAATGTACATTTCTCATTGGAGTGGTATTTTAGCCATTGACTTAGCTTGGACAGATAGCTCAGCTCCAGTATTCATTTCTGCAGCCCAAGTTAAACTGTTAACAAAACTCAGGCTGAACATGAAGCTATTCCATTGCTGTAAATGTTTTCTAACAGTCGGATGTGAACTTTTCAGACAGGTATTGTCAGCTTCCTCCTCCTACACCACGTCCTTCTACACCACTTCTCCCCACCACCAAGAACACCTATTTCCAGGTATGGGGGAAAAATCATAAAATAAGGAACACACAGAGGAAATTTATATTCCTTAGTGGGAAGGGAAAATTCGGTCAGCCTCCAAATGATATTTCACAACTGGGAAAGGTCAGAAGCAATTGAAGCAGGGTGAGATTTTCATTCTCACTTCAGAACAAAACTTTTAAATTGCCCAAATGAAGTTAAGAGTAAGTTTTGAAATATTTCAATGTCAGAGATTATGCACAAGTTTGAATTTGCCCCATATCATTTTTTCTGTTTTGCTGTACGTACAAGTGCCAGCTGTCAGTGGGGACAATTCACCCAGGGCAGCCCAGTTGCTGTTATCACTATGGACTTGACACGGTTGGCCATTCTAATATTTCAGTATACCTTCAGTCCCTACCAGGGCTATAATCAGCCTGGGGAATTTGGGGACATTGCCCCATTTGAGGAGGTCCAGACTCCAGATAGAACTTCTCATTCCCCACTCACCCAATTATATTGTTATGTCTTTGTGCCCTATAACTCTTTCTGGGGCCCCCAGTACAAAATTCACTCACATGTCCTGGTTCCAGTGATATTAAAGATTCAAGGATTATATTTCCCCATTCTTTAAGGTTTTTGACCAGAGACACCATATCTGCCCCTTTTTGATCTCCATGTTGAATAGCAAAATCAAACTAGCCAATTTCAAAGTATCTTTCCCAAGCCAAATTTGATAGGTGCTAAAAACAGGTGCAGAAAATTTAGATCTCCTCACCTCTTCCCACACACACTTGTCTAGCCACCACATATCAAAAGTCAGCCATTCTCCTTTCCTTTAATTTCCTTCCTGGATTTTGAACCTAATTTCCCTCATTGTCCAAGGTCATTTGGTTAGAGGCAAAGCCAGAAGTAGAATTCAGGTCTCTGGATGTCCCTCTCCAATTTATTTGTCTATAAACCACACCTTCCAGCTCCACGTTTCTTTGCTCTATTTTGGTTTTTAATAGGGTAGCAGTTCAAGAAACCAAGGGAAGTAGAGTCTATAGTGGGGCGAGGAGAGTATCATTAATAACTATATCATCTAAAGCAGGCCAGAAACTTCTGTTCAAGTCTACTTTTAACTTAAGGAGATTTGATGGAAGAAAGAGCTATGAGATAAGACTTTGGTGTAAGAGCCAACACCCCCTCCCCCCAACCTCTGTGGGCCTATTTGGGATATTTGTCCTCTTTACTAATTGGCAAGGTCTTTTGTATTGTTGAGCATGATTGCACCCTGTACAAGTAGAAACGAGACTGGAGTTCCTCTGCCTTCTCTTAGAGGATTAGGGTTTGAATAACTTCCAGCCCCAGCTCTATGATGAGAGCCCATGTGCAAGGACTAAGTTTCAGGCCCTGGGAATTGGCAGAACTCTGGTTAAAGAGCAGTGGCCCAGTGACAGCTTGGTGGTGGTAACTGGGGCTTGCAGAGGATTAGCATGTTAACTTGGCTGCAAGCAGCGGGGGAGATGGGTGCTAGGCAGCAGTCAGAATTGGTGTTCTGCATATTGCTGGGTCTATAAATATGATAAGCAAGTACTGACAGAATAATAGTATAAGGTGATGTACTACATACAGATCGTACAGGATTTGGTTTTAGGGCTTAAGTCGAAAATCCCACTCCTACAGCTTATTACCTAACAATATTCTGATAATGAGCTTTTAGAGTCTCTTTTTCCCTCTACTACTAGGAAGATTTACCTGGGAACTGTCTAAATTCTATACATATATTTTCAAGGACTTAAAAATGCCAACTATAGCATGGGAGGAGAGGAGGCAGCGGTAGCAGATGCGTCTTAAAAGCCACTTCAGAATTTCGTTACTGGATTCTGTTCCTCTCATTTCATAGCAGAAAACTTGAGGACATCATTTCCCCCACCCCCAGCCCTCTCCAGTCTACCATCTCACAGTGGTCCAGGACAGCACAGTTAACAGCAAATAGCATCACAGTGCCTAAGGACAGCAACTCACAAACCTGGTCAAGTTGTCTTTGCCTTTGCATTTCTTTCTATGTTCTTTATACAAAACAAGGCTACCCCCCACCCCCTGGCCCTGCCTCTTGTTTCCCAGAAAGTTGGCCTATGGTCCTTACTAGTTAGTCCAGAGTGAGGGGCTTGGTCACTTGGGGACAGTTCTTAGAGAAGCACATTTCAACCAAGGAAGGAACTTCCTGGATCTCCAGATCCTGCCTGCCCACCTGCCCAGGTTGTAGCAAACACTAAAAAAAAAAAAAAAAAAAAAAAAAAAAGGAAGAAGAAGAAGAAGAAAAAATAAAAAATAGTGAAGCTAGGGAAAGCTGTCAATTGGTCAACATGGGAGGGCAGCTCCACCCTATGTTGGTTTCTTTTCTTTACTTTTTTTTAAAGCTATTTCTTAAATAATAATAAATGCACATGATGTGTTAAATATGTATATATTTCAAAAGAAAAAGAATGGGGCACAAGATTGTTTTACAAGTCGTGCTGGCTAATTTTTAGTTTGTATTCATAAGTGGTTTTTAAAAGCCTTTTTTAAAGTGTAATTTGCATGTTCTACTTTGATTGTATGTAAACATATTTTAGAGCAAAAAAATGTATTTGTATTTTATTGAATATAGAGGCAAGAAACTTGTACATTGTTTGAAATGTTCTTTTTGTAACAGTTTTTATTCATAAAGCATTTTTGTACATTTCAAAATGGATATGGACTTGCTGTTCTTTGAGGCGTAGATACATCTGGCATGCTTTAATGTCATGCTCCTCCATGATCTTAGATGTTGATTTTTAAACATTTTTTTCTAAAAGAAAGCTCAGTCTTTTCGCTACCAGACCAGGTTAGCACAGTATAGAGCACTTAACTACAAAAAAGAAAAAAAAAGTTAATCCTATTCATATGTTATTCATTGTGTGAAATTAAAGGCATTCAATTCAGTCTAACATGAGTTGTGAATTCTTTTGTCTTATTTTCCATCTGGTTCACATCACTAAGAAGTTTAATAGCTTTTTTTTTTTTGTTTTTGGAGGGGGGTGCTTACTCACACCAGCTTGGTATAGACTCATTGAGAAAATTCTTCCCCAAAAGTGGCCCCTTTCTAGGGCTCTGAAAAGTCCAGCATGATGTCAGAATGAATAGAAAAGCAGAATCTTAGGTGCTTAGAGCTGAAAGGGATCTTAGAAATGACCTAGTGACTAGTCATAAGGAAACTGAGGCCCAGAGAAGTTTTGTGACTTAGTTTGGGTGGAGCTTGCATGAGCATTCATAGACTCAAACTCAAGCATTGAAGGAGACCCATCCCTTTTTTTCTTTGTTTGTTCATCTCATCCTTTAATCCTCTTCATTCATCTTCTCCCTCCTATCCATATGCCAGATGGATGGGAAGAGTTCAGTGTGAGTTAGAGTGATTGGAGAAGGCTTCGTGGAGAGTGACTCCCGAGCCAAGCCTTGAAGGATGGATGATGATTACATGGGAGGAAAGAAAAGGACAGGGCATTTTAGATGGAGGGAATGATGTTACAGCCACTGTGCTTCTTTCCATTACCTTTAGAGCAAAGGTATTGTATAGCAGCAATACAGAAAGCATGCTTGGATAGGGTAAATAGACCAATTCACTGGGGCAGAAGATATTGCTAAGGAAGCAGTGAGAGTGTAGGGTAGTTTAGTGGTGCCAGAGCATAAAGAACTTTGGACAGCCAGCTAAGGAGTGTGGAATTTACCCCATGGACCTTGAAGGTTTTTGAGTAGGGGAGTGGCATGAGCAAAGTAGGAGTTTATATAGGAAGACTAATCTGAGTGTTGTACAAGACACATTGGAAGGAAATAGTCTGGAGGTAATAAGACAAGTTAGGAAGTTAACTGTAATAACCTCAAAAGGGGGTGGTAAGCTCCTGGACTAGGTTGGTGGACTTAGTAATAAAAAGGAAGGGATATATAAAAGGTCATCACTATGGAAGAAACAACAAAATTTAGTGACTCATTCAATATTTGTTTGGTAACTAATTCTACATTTTTCTTCGGCCTCTCCAAACCACTCTGGATTTCCCTAAACATTTCCCCCTTCTACACTCTTCTCTCTCTATTTTATCAGGTTTTATTCCCCCCCTGTCCTTTGTTCTTTCTCTCTATGATGAACCTCAGGCAACATTACAGTTTAGGTTGGGAGACATGGTCAGGTTTGAAAGATCATGGTCAGCATCAAGGAATAGCTATAATATGTTCTTCTCCCCCAACCTTAAGCCCTGAGGATAAGTGACCTAGCCTGTGCCTTCTCGTGCCTTTATGGTCCCATGAGGACTTCTCTGGAAGAAACTGAAGATTCCACTAAAGTATTTGATTTGAACGCTCTTGGGATTGGGAGATAAGACACAAGGCATCTAAAGGTGGGTAGGGCATGAATCATTACCATTTCCATCTTAGAGATGAGGAAAACAGACATCAAGTAACTTGTTCCAAAAGTCACATAAAGTTGGTATGAAGATTAAGTAAGTCTAAAGAATGTGAATAAAGTTTTTGAAAAATATAAAACCCTAGAGTTCAATATTTCAAAGATCTGTTGTTACATCTCTGTTGCATATTTCTTCTACCAATACACATTCCATCCTGGTTACACTTTAGATGAGGGGTTCTTAACCTGGGAGCCTATGAACGTGGATGGAGAAGTGTGTTGTGTGTATGTGTGTGTGTGTGTGTGTGTGTGTGTATGTGTACAGAATATATGTGTGTATGTATATATGTATGTCTGTATGTAGGTGACAAACCTTCTAAGAAGGCCCCGTAGGCTTCACCAGAAGAACCTCTGCTTCATGACTTGCTGTTGTGGAATAAAAAGATTTTTACCTAGTAGCAAGACCACTGGTGGTAGACATATATGGCTGTACCACTGTGTTTTTATTTTCTCTCTCTCTCTTTTTTTTTTTGCTGAGGTAATTCGGATTAAGCGACTTGCCCAGGGTCTACAGCTAGTGAGTGTCAAGTGTCTGAGGTCAGAAGTGAACTCAGATCCTCCTGAGTCCAAGGCCAGAGCTCTACCCAAGTTTGTGTTTTTCAATTATGTAATGTGGTTGATTGGCCACTATGGTGTACAAGGGGAATGGTCTTAAAATCAAGATGACCTGAATTGGAATCCTGCCACTGCCATTACAGAGAAGTATAACCCTTCGCAAGTCAATTAACCTTTCTACACTTCACTTAAGTTATATATAAAATGGAGATAATAACAGCCCCTCTCTTAGTGTTGTTGTGAGCATCAAATGAGATTATGTGTATAAATGCTTTGTTTTTATTAAATTCTTTTTAATTTTTTCAGTTAATAAGTATTTATTTTCTGTTCCTATCTTTCTATACTTCTCCCCTCCCCCACTGAAAAAGAAGGAAAACAAAGCCCTTGGAATGAATGTGCATGATCAAGGGAAGCCATTTCCTATATTGTCCAAATCCAAAAATACATTTTTCATTCTGGATCTTGAACCTATCACCTCTTCATCAGGAAGAGAGTAGCATTCACCTTTACTGGTTACCTGAATCATAGCTGGACATTGACTAGACTAGAGCATTCTTTTTGGGGGGGGGGGTAAGGAAATTGTGGTTAAGTGACTCACCCAGGGTCACACAGCTAGTAAATGTCAAGTGTCTGGTCTGAGACCACATTTGAACTCAGGTCCTCCTGACTCCAGGTGCTCTATCCACCACACCACCTAGCTGTCCCATAGAGCATTCTTAAGTCTTTCAAAGTGGTTTGTCTTTATAATGTTGTTGTTATTATATAAATAGTTCTCTGATGTTCTGCTAGCTTCACTCTGCCTCAGTTCACACAAATCTAAGTAAAGTGCTTTGTAAACCTAAAGTGCTATATAATATTATTATATTCAGATTTCCATTTGTGACAACCCCAGGGCAATTCAACACATTTTACTCATTAGTCTTGGTTTGTTTATTTGTATTTTTTCTGGGTTACATTTAGAAAATAATTGGCATCCATAATATCTCTCACTGACTGTTCTTACTGAAAATATACTTCAAATGAGGGAAGAAAAGCATTTGAAATGAGAGAAATGCAAGTGAAAAACTGTAAACCCATGAGAAATCAAAACTACACCTATTTTCTAGATTTAAAAAATGGAATATGAGGCTTATGTCTCTGTCCTCTTTTTCTTTTCTGCAGGACTTAACAGAAAATGGAAAATTCCCACTTAGTTTTCTATATAGTTTGTTCAGTTCTTAGTGCTTTAATATGAAAGGTCTCCACAGTCAGGACACACCTTCCTCTTTTTCTAGGCTTATTTCCCAGAGCTCATCTGAAAGAAAGCTCAGCTCCAGAAAGCATCCCAGAATTACATCTACAAGGGACCTCAGATGTCTGGTCTAACTCTCACCTAAGTAGGATTTCGGTTTCCTGAGAAGCAATGGTGTCATTTCGAATTAATGCCCTTTATGTATGGGAATGCCTCCTGAGGATGCCCATTGCACCCTCATTTCTAATTGTTGGGAAACTGCTCATTGTAGCTTTTTAATAATTTGCACCTATTGTTCTGGTCTCCTAATGCCTTAAGTATAGTATACCTTGTTCAAGCTGTCCTTACCAGGAATTGGCCTTAGCACCCAAATTCCCCTCTCACTCTTCCCCCACAGCTTACTTTATCATCATCCTACCCATTTTTAAGAGACTACTCAAGTGCCATCCTCCCCATGAAATCTTCCTGACCACCCTCATTTCCTTCTCCTCTTGAGTTCAGAGAAGCAGAGAGATAGTGTATAAAACAGCAGGTTTATAGTAAGAAACACCTGGGTTTCAATTTTCCCTCAGACCCTTACTAGATATATAACCCTGAGTAATCCATTTATAATCTTTCTAAACCTCAGTTTTCTCAATGGGTCAAACATATAAGCAGGCAGTTTTTGAAGGAAGAAATCAAAGCTATCAACAGCCATATTGAAAAAGAAATGCTCCGCATCACTAATAACTTTTAAAATGCAAATTAGAGCAACTTTGAAGTTCTATCTCACACCCATCAGATTGACAAAGTTGACAAAACAGGGAAGAAATAATAAATGGCAAATATTGAAGGGGCTATGGGAAAACAGGTGCATTAATGCATGGTTGATGGAACTGTGAATTGGTCCAGACTTTGGAAAGCAAGATGGAATGATGTTCAAAAAATCATTAATAGATATATATATATACCTTTGATCCAGCAATACCACTACTAGGTCCTCTGCCACTACCGACCCCAGACAATCAGTCAGTTAATAAACATTTATCAAGTGCCTACTACACACCAGGCACAGTGCTAAGCCTTGGGTATACTCACAAACCTTGGCAATAGAGATCAAAGAAAGTGAGAAAGAATCCATATATACAAAAATATTTATAGCAGCTCTTTTTGTAAAAGTAAAAAACTGCATACCAAGAGAGTGTCAGTCACCTGGGGAGTGGACATTGTGCCATAAGAAATTATTTAAAAACTATTAAAATTTTTAAAAAGTTAGTTTCGGAGAAAGCTGGGAAGACTTGTACAAACTGATGCAAAGTGAAGTGAGCAGAACAATTTATACATTAACAATAGCACTGTTTTTAAAAAAGAATCTGTACAACATTGGATAGCTTAATTCTGATTAGCATAATTCTAGATCAATGATAAAACATACTACTCATTCATGTATAGAGAGGTGATGAATTCAGGGTGCAGAATAAGCCATTTTTTTACTTGTCCAATATGAGAATCTGATTTGCTTGATTATATATATCTGCATGTTACAAGATTTTTATTTTTCTTTTTTTTCCTATGGGAGGAAGAGAGAGAGAGAAAATCAATTTTTGTTCTTTGAAAAAAGTTTAATTTAAAAACTGACAACACTTATATCAGAGGAATATTGTGAGGATCAAATGAGATAATATAAAAGAAGTGCTTTGCAAACTTTAAAGTGTTATATAAATGTTACC